CACCGATGCACGAACGTACCTGGCCCCACGGGTGTGACGCCATACACGTGGCCATGATGCTCTCTAGCTTGACCGCGCCCTTAATTCGTGGCACAAGATAAGATTTCAGACGGCATAAAAAAAGATAAGATCTCAGATGTGATAACATGCCTCCCTCTCCCTCAGGCCTCAGTCAGAGTCGGCATGGAGTGGGTGTGGGCCCTCCTTTGTTCCTGATGATCGGCAGGTGGGCCCGGCTACTTGGCATGCAAGTGGGAGTACCGAGTACCAGACGAGACGACGACCTGATCTGACGTCTGCTGTGCTGGGCCCGACGCGTCCGGGCAGTGTTGGGCGGGCCAGTTGGAGAGCGGCAGCGTGCCATCTGCCACGATGTCGGCGACCGGCCCGGTGTTGCTGTCGCAGCTCGATCTTTCCTTTTTCCGTGCGTGTTGTTGTTGACAAAAAACGCGTGTGGGTTGGTAGCCCGCACGATCTTACCGTACGGGGTCAATTAAGCGCTTTCATAACTGCATTCTGAGATAGCATAATTACAAGACGGTTTTTTCTTTGCAAATTAGTTCGTGAAATAAAATTTTTGGATGTCACATCGGATGTTTTGGAGATGTTGAAAGGGGTTTTCGGATACTAATAAAAAAAACTAATTACATAGCTCCCTTGGAAACTGCGAGACGAATTTATTAAGTATAATTAATTCATCATTAGCGCATGTTAGTTACTGTAGCACTTATGGCTAATCATGGACTAATTAGTCTTAAAACATTCGTCTCGTGATTTTCAACCAAACTGTGCAATTAATTTTTTTCGTCTATATTTAATACTCCATACATGTGCCGCAAGATTCGATGTGACAGTTTAGGGTGAAAATTTTTAGGAACTAAACCAGGCCTTAATTACAAGCTCAAAATGGCCGACAACGGATGGACAATGGTTGCTGGAGGTACATATATTTTTTCCCCCCGAGAGAGAAGGGATCTTATTAATCTGAGATAGCATAATTACAAGTCTTTCAAAGTCTTCCAACTTTATTCTAGAGCCCCCAACTGTAATTCTTCATTTTCTAATCAATGGCCGACAACGATTATCTAGTTTCAATATGTCCAAACTTAGCAACACTAATGACTATTGTTGAAGCATCACCTTCCAATCATCCGCAACAACACACTCCGACATTTGAAAGCGTCGCACAATCCAACATGGGGTTGCGTATATCTATCTATATACTAATATACATAAAAATTTTCTTGTTACTTCTTGAATTGGCCATTTTGTCAAACGTCCTGCCAATCATGTTTTGGGTAGCACTCACATTGGGCTACAGACACATTTATATAGGCATACTTGAGAATCCGAGGACTACACACGATATATAGTAGTGTTTGAAAAATAGGGCAAATGCTGCGGGTAATGTTGAATTTGAAGTTTCAACATGGTAATCTTCCCTAATGAAAAAAAATGCTTTCGTTTCTATAAAATTGTCGTTTTTTCCATAAATATAAGTGATTCCATTTAAGATAGATTAAGGGTGATTGTGAAATACTCACATATATGCCCCTAACCAAAACCACGTCTAACCAAACTTATTTGCCTTTTCAAAAGAACTGATTAGTGGATTATTTTGAGGATGCCTATTGGGCTACAAGAAACATATTAGCGCCGTAATTTTGGAGTCTTGATATGCATATCTTTTCCTAATACTATTAAAGAAAAAGGGGTTTCTTTGTCCATTCCAAAACTTCGTACATAGCTCACGCCATCCTCACTTACGTGAATGATAGCCAATCATAGGCAAGTGTGTGTCGCCTCCAGAGTCCATGTCTAAAACCAATTCCAAATGTAGAGAAAAAGTATAAATATCCAAAATCATAGGCACAAAAACAACTTATCATAAATTCGAAGAGGAAAAATATACAAAAAACCAAAATCAGAGGCACAAAAGTACACGAAGACATAGATTCATAATTTTTTTGAAAAAAACAACACAGGTCACACCTAGATGCAGGAAATTTCCAAATCGTGTCCACCACAAACCAATTAGAGTGGGTGCAAGAGGAGTAAACCAAGAATAATTCGAGACGACCACAGATGAAATCAAACCACGTGAACTTGCCGCCTTGGTTCTGTCTCTCGATAACACGGTCACCGAAGCTTGGCCCATCGTGACACTTGCCCAAGCCACCATCCTAACGTGCCGCCCACCCAAGCTGCACGCCCGCCCGAGCCTTCGGCCTATCGCATTGCCCGACTATCCGCCAAAAGGGTATAAATCCTACAAACTCAAAATAAAAAAAATACATTATGCCATCAAATTGATAGATTCTAATGATAATTGATAATAGATCTATATTTGATTTATTGTAGTTTCTAAAAAGTCTACCATCCCAACCATTATTAAAAAACAACATAAATTAACAATATGAAAAATAACCTAAATGAAACCCTGTAAGTCTTCATCCAAAATATAAAATATATCATCACAAAATCAAATACAAACTAACCCTCTAAATATACATCTGTTTACAAACATATGCTATTATCAAACAATCCACTTATACCACTGTTAATATAGGGGAAAAACTAACTCAAGAGCTAAGGTGTTCATGCATATCGATTTCCTTATTAAATGCACAGGTGAAGCTAAATTTCTAATAAAAAACATGTTAAACATAAATGTAGGTGCAATGCAAAGAAAAGAAAACTATGAATAGGATGGAAAAACGTATAATAAGTTAATTTGTATAAAAAATGTACCTAATGGACAAAATTTACAGGATGTCGACATTGGTAACATTAACATGTGCGATAGAGCGAAGATAAGAAATTTTGACGAGCTCTAAATTTATCTTGGACCTTGTTAATATACTCGTATGCCTTAAATTACTAACCGAACCTAAAATGAACACGTACGCAGCCACGCAGGACACCGTCCAAGATATTTGTTTGCCGATTGGCCATCTAGCTTACCAATCTCTTTCAGCTCTCCCTATCCATTCGGCGATTGGCCATCTAGCCAAAGTGACAGTGTGACACACAGAAAGCGTACAGGGAACCGTGGCACGCCACGTAAAGAATGTTACGCGTCTCGTCCGCATCCCACACTGCCCCTTCCCGAAGCCAACAGCCGACTCCAACTCTCCCCCACGAAGAAGGAAAGAGAAAATTTGTTCATCGTCATTGAAATCTACTAGAAACGTGGGTGTGGCTTTACCGCGCCTTCCCTTTTGATTAGGTTGTTGGCAATAAGAATATAGGTGTAGTGGTGAGAAACTCAATAATTTTTTTTTGTTTATTTTATGATTTTTATGTATTTTCGAGACTTTATTATCATGAAGGTATAATTTTATTTGCCTCTAGAAAGCATAGGTAAAAGTTTATATGAAAAAATCGTTACTAAAACATTTGATATCATGGATGCATTGCATAATTCTACTGGTTAGGATTTCAGATCAATTTTCTAAGACTCCTGGAGACGCACGGGAATTCCTGTTGGCTTGGCTTCTGATCCGTTGGTAAACTGAAGGCCAATACGTGTTGCTTACTTGCTTTCAGTACCTTATTATATTATATATAGAGTTGTGCGACCGACGTAATTTTGGACACTTGTTCTTATTATTATTCACCACTGTAGCTAGTAGATAGGAGTTGCTAGATTTTTCTACCAAGTGCCTGTTTAGTTTCTAAAATTTTGCAAATTCTTTTAAGATTTTCCGTTACATCGAATCTTTGGACGCATGTATGAAGCATTAAATATAAATACAAAATAAAACTAATTACACAGTATAGACGAAATTCACGAGACGAATCTTATAAGCCTAATTAGATTATAATTGGATACTAATTACCAAATAACAATGAAAGTACTACAGTATTATTTCCCAAAATATTTCCCTAATTAAACCAGGCCCAAGCAGTAGCTTTCGCTAGGCACTTGTTTGGCTTGCTTGCAGTACGTGGAGGACTCGGGTCACGGGTGGCTGGAATCTAGATGCGTCGGTACGATGCAATTTTAAAGTTTCAGCTAATTTATTTTTTGAAAAAAAAATATAATTAAAGGTGGTCTGTATTTTGATTTGAGAAAAAATTGAGGAAGTTTTTGCAAAAATTGCTGAGAGTGTCTCTGGAGCGCGGGTTGATTTTTAATAAAGTGAAGGTATTTTTTGCAAAAAATCCAGAGCCCATCCGTTCTGGACCGCAGGTTGATTTGGAAATAATCTAAGGTGTTTTTTGCAAAATATTCTGAGAGCGCCTCTAAAGCGCAGGTTGATTTACGAAAAATAGAAGGGTTTTTTCGTAAAATGACCGCGGATCGTCCGATCTGGGCCGTCCGCGCCCCTGATGGAATGGCCGCGAAAACCCTGTGACGTGGCACGCTGGCTGGCCACGGTTTGGACGCAGGTTTCATATATAAAAGATTCTCATTTGGTACGTGCCATTGAAAATTACAATATTTCTTCGTTGCCATTAGTTTATAATTTTTTCACCATTGGTTTATAATTTTTTTTCACCATTGGTTTATAATTGTATGCCATTGTCGTTAGTTTTTACATAGACTCTGTTCGTTTGAGCTTATAAACCATAATCAGCTCTACTTTCTCAGCCATGAAATAATGTTTTTCTCTTACAATAAATCAGTCCTGTAAATCAGCCATAACAGCGATAAGTCCAGACCATAATCTCCGTGCACACACCGTTAAAACCTGTAGCTGGTTCGTCTCACACGGCTCGTGCGTTCCCTGCGCGCTCATGCCAACGAGAGCTCGGGGAAGGCGAGGCAGGGAAGGCGATATAAACCAATGGCAACGAAGAAATATTGTAATTTTCAATAGCACATACCAAATGAGTATAGATTCCAATGGCAATGAATAAATTTTAGGAAATTGCTTACCCATCGGCCGCAGAAGATCCGGCAGTCCGGGCCGTATAAAGCTACGCGCCCCCGTCCTCCGCACCAGAGGACACAAGGAGCCCACCAGGTCCTGGTTCACCACACCGCAGCGGCAATGGCGACGCGCCGGCAGCACCGCCGCGGCTTCCCGCTGGTCCCGCTCCTGCTCTCCCTCCTGGCGGCCGCCGCGTACGGCCGCCTCATCTCCGACGGCGCCCCGTCCGCGCCGCTCCTCTCGTTGATCCGCCTCTCGGGCTCCCCGCCGGCCGCGGCCGCGGGGGCGGCGGCGGCCGAGGAGAAGTGCGAGCAGTCCTACGGCTTCCTCCCCTGCACCACCACCGTGCTCGGGAACCTCTTCCTGGTGCTGACCTACGGGTTCCTCATGTACAAGGCGGCCACGTACCTGTCGACGGGGAGCGAGCTGCTGCTCGAGATCATGGGGCCCGGCCTCATCGGCGGCCTCCTCCTCCCCATCCTCGGCGCCCTCCCCGACGCGCTCCTCGTCCTCGGTTCGCTCTCCTCCTCGCCTTCCTTCGCTTCGCTTCCTTCCGTTGCTCGCCGCCTCATTCTGTGCTTTGCTTTGATGATTCGCCAAGCATTCGGTTGCCTGCTCCTAGCTAGTTCATGGCCCGAGTCTAGCGTTAGTTTCCACCGAGCTTGCTTTGTTCGCACTTCAACTTAGAAAGGATCGTTGAACTGCTCTTGCGATTGGCAGCGCAAAAGTAATCGTAGTGATGGAATTCAAAACATCCTTTTGCTTTCATTTTTTAACGCCTTTTCTGTTGCTCCTATTTGTTTTGCTCCAGATCTGATGTTTCTAGCAGTCTAATTTGCTTTGTTACTGGATGTCTGGATCAGAGTATAAGCTTTTGGGTTATTCCTTTTTATGGAGCCTTTGATTATTCCAGGGCTAAAGCCTGGCCGCCGCTCTGCTTTTTTCTGAAATTCATCAGTTGGTTTAGTTTTAGCTTTCTAAAAGCTCCATCAAAGCCTTTTGACCTTTAACCTTTTCCTTTCACTTTTATTTGCCTTGCATAATTGACCCTTTTTTTTATTTACTACAGCAAGCATTACGTGTTTATTTACCAAATCATAGGCTTCCTGTGCTGTGAAATTGTATCCGGGGAAGGTTATGTACTACTCTTTACTCAGAAAAGAGTACCACTTCGTTGCTACAGTCGGATGCAGTTTCTGGGGGCGGTTTGGTATGGCTCCAGCAGCTCTGGCTCCGGCTGACACCCTGACATGGAACGCTGTAACCCGGAGCTGTTTTTCTCTCCCCACCTTTTTCCTCTCGCTGTAGCGCGGTTACTGTTCACGGAGCCGGTGAAGCTAGAATTTCCGGCTCCGGTTCTGTAACGCTACAGTGCATACACAGTGTAGAAGCCGAATCTCCTCGGAGCCGTACCAAACGAGCCGTGTACAGTAGATCAGAACTAACACAGTAGATCAGATCTCGATGCGATCTGCGATCTACGTATCGCAGTGTACCAATGTGGCACGGGCCTACATAAGCTTAAATAAATTATGGATATGTCATAGCACCTTATGCCTGCATAGACTTAATTATGGATATGTCATAGCACCTTATGCCTACATAGACTTAATTATGAATATGACATTGCACCTTATTGTGCTGTAGAACAACCACATGTGATCAGATCATTATTCTGGTTTGAACACCTCAGTAGCCTACAAACTGGTTATATTTATTTTTATCCTACTCTGTTAACAAAATGGTTTGTTACTCCTGCACCCACTTTAAAGGGTGTACTCAGAGAGCTCCCGTTCTATGCGGGGTCTGGGGAAGGGAGTTAGTGGCAAGTCTTACCCTCGCCTGTGCAATGCGAGGAGACCGCGACTCGAACCCGGGACCTTCCGGTCACAGGCGGTAAGACTCTACCGCTTGCACGAGGCCCGACCTTCACTCCTGCACCCACTTTAAAAAAGAAAAATCTAATGCGGTAGGAGAAATGTTTGTAAATTACTATGTGTTTTTGTTTCTGTGATAGTATGATGGGAAATTCAATTTGTTTATTGCAATTGATCAAACATATTTCTCTTCATCCATGTACTGAATCATGAAACTAATGGTGTATATTCAGCACTGTGCTTGCACGTCCAACTACAATTCTGATATGTTTAATGTTTACCCGAAAAAAGGTTTATTCTGATCTGTTTGTTGATCACGTTACAGTATCTGGCCTGTCCGGGAGTAAAGAGGAGGCACAGAGTCAGGTACTTATCGGAATGGGGCTGCTTGCTGGTTCCACCGTCTTCCTCCTCACCCTGCTTTGGGGAACCTGTGTCGTTGTTGGCAAGTGTGACCTTGGGCCAAACCGTGAGGCAGTTGATTTAACAGACACCAAGGGCTTCAGCTTGACTGGTATAATGCTTTCTCTTATGCAAAGTGTTTTGAATGGAGACCGTCTAATGGTTGTTTATCTTGTAATTTTAAAGTAGGACAGTTGAACCACAAAGGTTTCAGTTGTCCATTTCGAAAGATAACAACTAAATAATCAATCACCAATCCTCGAACAATTGTGTTTGTTCTGCTTCCTTTTTTACTGACTAGCAAAATTGGTGGCAGGCACTGGTATTACAACCGATGTGCAGACCAGCTATGCAGCGCGGATCATGGGGCTATCTGTTATCCCCTTCATCATCGCACAGTTCCCAAAGATGTTGAAGACCCACCACGGGCAGCGCCTAGCTATGTTGCTGGGCCTTATTGTGTCATTCTTGCTCGTGCTTTCCTACTGTCTGTACCAGGTAAATAAAATACATTCTGGCAATTAGCCTCTTGAGATGATAACAGGATTGGCAGTTCTAGATTATAAGGGTAACTTTGACCGTGAAATTGGATCCTCAAATCATGCACCAGGTTTTCCAGCCTTGGATTCAGAGGAGGAAGCTTGCATATGCGAAGCACAAGCACGTGATCTCTGGGATACTGAAGCACGCCCAAAAGCAGGCACTCGGTCGTCTGCTAAACGATGATGGCACACCCAATGAAGACGTCATCAGAAAGTGTGATCCTCTGAACACCTTGTTGTATACGGTAGTTAGGAGCACACTGTTTCGTGGAAATGTCATGAACCTTGTCTTGTGCTGACACGCAGGCTGTTCCATAAGATCGACATGGACGAGAGCCGCTCCCTGTCCCGTGCCGAGCTCCACGCTCTCATCGTCGGTATCAACTTCGATGAGGTTGAATTTGACAGGATGGATGCGGTCGACAAGGTCATGGCCGACTTTGATACGTCCCGCAACGATATCGTTGAGGAGGAGGAGTTTGTGCAGGGGATGAAGAAATGGCTCAATGAGGCTAAGCGCCACATGCCCGTGGGCGGCGCCTTCTCCAGCAAGTTCAATGAATACCATGAGGTAATCTGCTCGCCCTGCAGCCTCCAGTAGCTTAGGAATTGTGCACGGCAGAGCACTGATGCGAATGGAATGGAATCATGCAGAGGACACGGCAGGAGCACGACCAGCTGATTGACAGGTGCGATGAGGCGGTGGAGAGCGTGGAGAACCCCGGGTGGTGCATCACCAAGGCTGTGGCGCTGCTGCTTCTGGGTGCCGCCATCGCGGCCGCGTTCGCGGACCCCTCGTGGACACCGTCCACAACTTCTCCAACGCCACGCACATCCCGTCCTTCTTCATCTCGTTCATCGCCCTACCGTTTGCGACCAACTCCAGCGAGGCCGTCTCCGCCATCATCTTCGCCAGCAGGAAGAAGCAGAGGACCTGCTCCCTGACCTTCTCCGAGGTACGTTGTCGTTGTTGTACTTGTACCACACTGCCACTGACAAACACGGCGACTGACGACGCTTCTTCTTGATTCGCAGGTGTATGGCGGCGTAACAATGAACAACACGCTGTGCCTCGGTGTGTTCCTGGCGCTCATCTACTTCAGGAACCTGACGTGGGACTTCTCATCAGAGGTGCTCATCATCCTGCTGGTCTGCGTTGTCATGGCCCTCTTCACCAGCTTCCGGACCACGTTCCCGCTCTGGACCTGCCTCGTCGCCTACATGCTCTATCCGTTCTCGCTGGTCATCGTCTACATCCTCGACTATGTCTTTGGCTGGTCATAGGCTCCTCGAGCGAACACGACCTGATTGGTTCAAGGGAACACCTGGTTTCTAACAGCCGCCGGTGTTTCTGCTGGACCTTATTGTAATTTTGACTCCTGTGAAGCTATCTGTCCAGACTTTCTCATGTGATGTAATCATGTTCTACTTTCTCTATTTCCTTGTATCCAAAGCACGTACTTCATCACACAACAGCTCCACACTCCACTCTCGTGCCACTTGCCTCGGTTGATGTTCATGCATTCACCTCAATCCACGTGTGTTAGAATGATTAAATTTCATACCAAACCACATCAACACACATGGATTGAGATCCATACATGAGCATCCAAACAAGCCTTTAGAAACTCGGCAGGGTTTTGTAAAACGGCTTCATGTTACGGTGTGGACGGGCACGATGGGGAGATCGCAGGGGAGAGTGGAGTAGAAGGCTGGATTGAGAATTGGAGCGCAAGAGATAGCGAGGAAGTGGTGCAGCGGGAGGTTCGCCGGTGGCAGCGGCAGAATCGCTCGCAGTCACCGTCGAAGGTAACCCGCCCACCTTGGGAGGTTTATTCCTTCTTCGACAAGTCCTATTACAATCTCTAAGTGCCCTTTATAAAATAGGTGCACTACTAACAACCCAAAATAGATTTCCTAAATCTAGATTTCCTAAATTTCCTCCCTTTCCTCTCCTAACTTAATCAGCCGAGCCCCTTAGCCACGGCTGGGCCTGGGCCGGCGCCTATACTGACGCCCTACAAAGACGTCTATAACACTTCCCTCCTCCCCAACAAATAGCTCGTCCGCGAGCTGGAATGTTGGATAGCGCTCCTTGAAGTCATCAATATCTTCCCAAGTAGAATCAGCCGCAGTCCGCCCCTCCCAATGAACAAGGAGTTGCCAGCGATCCCAGTTCAAGCGAGCACGCACCATCGCAGCCGGAGTAGGAATGACACGCCCATGAAGCGTGGATGGAAGAGGAACAATGGCGCCTGGAGGGTCCCCTTCATACTTCTTCAGCAGCGCCACATGAAAGACATCATGAATACGAGCCTTCGACAGAAGACGCAGACGATAAGCCACGGCGCCCAAGCGCTCAACAATCTGATAGGGTCCAAAGAACCGCGGCCCTAGCTTGGAGGAGGCCGCCAGAGTAATACCAACAGCTGTGCGGTGATGAAGGTGGAGCAGCACCCAGTCACCTACAGCAAACTGCACAAACCGACGCTTCTTGTCATGGATCTCCCCAGATAGTGTCTCGAGCCAATACCAAGCGATCACGGATGTCCGGCAGAGGCGATCGCGGTCACGAAAAGTTGGCGATCAACAGCAGACCACCCGAGCCGACCTGGAAGATAGGAAACCATCGACGGTGGAGATCGCCATACACCACCTCAAAGCGGCGAGCGCAGGCGGCATCGGTAGGAAGTATTATAACATAATTCCGCTCAAGGAAGCCATCGCAACCAAGAACGAGGCCGATCCCCACTAAACAACACGGGTACATAACTATGATACGATTAGTGACCTCAGATTGCCCATCATCTATGGATGAAATACTGGCTGCGTAGCAAGGTCACACCACCCGACTTGAAAAACTCCTCCCAAAATTGCTAGTGAAAAGCAAAGATCCCGATCACTCACAATAGAACATGGAAATCCATGTAGCCGCACAATGTTGTCAAAGAAGGCACGAGCGATGGAGCTAATGAGTAGGGGTGACTCGAGTATGATGAAATGCGCCATCTTGGAGAAGCGATCAACCACAAGAAGAATCACGGACTTGCCGCCCACACGTGGAAAGCCATCAATAATGTCCATGGCGATGTCGCTCCAGACATGTTCAGGAACAGGAAGTGGCTGAAGAAGACCAGCGGGATGCAGGTGTTCGATTTTATTACCCTGACAAATAGCGCAGCCTTTGACATAGTCTTGAACCAGCCTATGCGCGCGTCGGTTGTAGAAGGATGCACGCAGCCTGTGGAGTGTCTTCTGCGAGCCTTCATGACCGGCAGTGTGAGCCTCACGCAATAGCTGCGGCCAGAGCGATGACTCATCAGGAACGAAGGGACGTCCTTGGTACAACAGCCGACCGTCCACCATCGCCCAGCCGTCGGCGAGGTGCCAGCAATGATCTGCGCCTAGAGCTCCTGGGCCTAAGAGTCGCGCTGAATCTCAGCACGCAGGACATCATAGATGGCGAACGAAGGCCCGGAGAGTGCACATGCAGCCATAGGACTGGAGTCCATATCATGGCGTGATAAGGCGTCCGCCACCGTATTCAGCTTCCCTGGTCTGTACTCGATTGAGAGGTCATATCCGAATAACTTGGTGACCCAAGTGTGCTGCGGTATCGTCGTTAAGCACTGGTCGAGAATAAACTTCAGGCTCCAATGATCCGTCCGCACAGTAAAGGCACGGCCCCAGAGATAGGGCCGCCAATGGCGAACTTCCTTGATGAGACCAATCAACTCCCGCTCATAGGCCGGAAGCTTGGCATGGTGGGGCGCCATAGCGCGGCTGAAGAAGGCCACCGCACCATCTCCTTGGTGGAGGACTGCACCAAAACCAGCCCCGAACGCGTCACAGTCAATGATGAAGCGCTTGTCGAAGTCAGGCAGTTGTAGTAGAGGGGCGGACGTCAACACCCTCTTGAGCGCCAGGAAGGCCTCCTCTGCTGCCGGTGTCCAAGAAAATGCCTCACGTTTGAGAAGCGTCGTGAGGGGCGCAGCCACACCACCATAGCCGGCAATGAACTTCTGATAATATCCTGTGAGGCCGAGAACCCCGCGGAGGGCGCGAGCTGTAGTCGACCGCGTCCAAGCTTCCACCACCTCGACCTTCGCTGGATCCATAGCAACTCCCGCGGCCGAAATGATGTGGCCAAGGTAGCCGACCGAGAGTTCGCCAAAGAAACATTTGGAGCGCTTGGCGAAGAGATGGTGCATGCGCATCTACTGCAGCACGGTCCGCACATGCTGCAAGTGCTCTGCCCATGTCGAACTGAAGATCAAAATGTCATAAAAAAATACAAGCACGAAACGACGGATATATGACTTCAAAATATCATTCATAAGTGCTTGGAAGGTGGCAGGCGCGTTGGTGAGACCGAAGGGCATGACGAGGAACTCAAAATGACCGCGATGCGTCCGTAACGCGGTCTTGGCAATGTCGTCCGGGTGCATGCGCACCTGGTGATACCCGCTACGAAGATCGATCTTGGTGAAGAAACGAGCACCCTTCAACTCATCAAGGAGTTCATCAACCACCGAAATAGGAAACTTGTCCTTGATGGTGCTGTCGTTAAGAGCGCGAAAGTCGACGCAGAAGCGCCAACTGCCATCCTGCTTGCGGACGAGGAGCACCGGGGAGGAGAACGGCGAAGTCGACTCCCGGATGATCTCTTGCTGCAACATATCATCGCACTGCCGCTCAATCTCGTCCTTGAGGAGCTGTGGGTAGCGGTAGGGCCCCACAGCCACCGGTGGGGAGCCAGGGACGAGGTGGATATGGTGGTCATGGTGTTGGCTTGGAGGCAACCCGCGTGGCTCCTCGAAGATGTCTACATAGGACAGCAGCAGCTCCAATATAGTTCGGGGATCGGCGATAGCATGGGCAGCCAACGCCTTGCTGCCCAGGCCAGTCCAGCTGTGAGCACGCCCTCGGTACCAAAAGGCAATCGAGAGGGCGTCGAAGTCCCAAACAATGGGCCCCAAAGAGCGCAGCCACTGAACACCGAGAACCAAGTCAAAGCCGCCCAAGTCGAGGGTGACACAGTCGAGGGAGAAGGGTTCCTCATAGATGAGAACCTCCTTGGCAAGGCACACGCCGGGGCTGCGAACACGATCACCATTCGCGACCAACACGGACAGTCCATCACGTGACAAGACTGGCAAGCCCAGGCGAGCGGCCACCTTCGTATGGATGAAGGTGTGCGTGCTGCCGGTATCAACCAATGCTTTGAGTGGAACACCCGCGATCGTCACCTGTAACATCATAGAAATAGCATGGGCGAGGCCAGTCAATGCGTGCAGGGAGATCTCCAAGTTAGAGATGTCATCGTCGAGCGGGTCCTCCTCGCCTTCCTCAAGCTCCATGAGGAAGACGCCCTTAGCCACACACTTGTGATCCTTGGAGTACGGTTCCGGGCAGAAATAGCACTGTCCGTTCTACCGCTTCTCTTGCGTCTCGGCCAGTGTCAGACGGCGAAAGCCAGAACGTGTCCCTTCTGTCTTGTCGTCCTGCAGATCAGCAGCAGAGCCCGTTGTGCTGGTCGAAGCCAAGGCGCGGCGAGTGGATGACTTCAGTGGTGCCGAGCTGTTAACGGTGGAGGCCTGCTCTTGCCGCTGTTCATAGGCCCACGCTAAGCTCATGGCCTGTTGCACATTGACAGGGTGTTGCAGCTCCACATCAGCAGCGAGCGACTGTCCCAAGCCACCGGTGTAGAGATCAATGGTCGTCCGCGTGGAGAGGTTGTCGTAGCGTGAGAGCAGTGCGAGGAAGCACCGTGAGTACTCCTCCACGGTGCCCGTGCGGACCAGGGCCTTGATCTCGCCAACAGAGTTGGTGCGGATGGGTGGCCCGAAGCGAAGGTTGACAAACTCGACGAAGCGTGGCCAAGAGACCATCCCAAAGTCGCGCTCCATCTGATAGTACCACTCGGCTACGATGCCATCCAGATGCAATGACGCCATCCACACCTTCTCATCCTCTGGCACACAATGCCCGCGGAAGTAGTTGTCACACTTATTGAGCCAATTCAACGGATCCGCCTCTCCATTGAAGCTGGGAAACGGAATTTTGGGTGGACGATGAGGCTCCCGGCGGCCTTCGACGTTTCCTTGATGACGGTCGCCGCGGTTGAAGAGACGGTAGTCGCGGCCTCTGCGATCGAACTCCCGGCCACCCCTGTCCCAGTCGAAGCCGCGATCGAACTCCCGGCCACCCCTGTCCCGGTCGACCGCAGAAATCGCGGATGAAATCACGACCACGGTCACGGTCGTAGCCGCCGCGGTCACGTGCATAGGAGCCGCGCTCGAAGTCCCTGTCACGCCCGTCGTGCACGTAGTCGCTTCCGTAGCCGACCACAGAGTCGTGATCGATGCGACCCGGCTCGCGACAACCGAAACGATCGCGCGGGTCCAGGAACCGCTCGCGGTCGCACAGAGTCCGCGCACGGAACTCCTCCCAGGCGCGGTCCGGATCCATGTCGTCATGAGCATCACCGCCATCGCGGGTGTTGTCTCTGCCGGCGCGGATGTCATCACCACCACCCGCAGCATCATCCGTGACACCGCCCTTGCCGGCATTGGCCTTGCCTGACTCGATGCGCGCCAGCCGGTGGTCATGGGAGTTGAGGCGATTGGTGATGGTGGTGAGCTGACCCAAGATGCGATCCAATTTGGCATCCATGGCCGCAGGATCGTGGGTGCCGGACATGATGATTGATGCACCCGTGAAGGTCTCTGATACCAAATTGTTACGGCGTGGACGGGCACGATGGGGAGATCGCAGGGGAGAGCAGAGTAGAAGACTGGATTGAGAATTGGAGCGTAAGGGATAACGAGGAAGTGGTGCAGCGGGAGGTTCGCCGGCGGCAACGGCAGAATCGCTCGCAGCCACCATTGAAGGTAACCCGCCCACCTTGGGAGGTTTATTCCTTCTTCGATAAGTCCTATTACAATCTCTAAGTGCCCTTTATATAATAGGTGCACTGCTAACAACCCAAAATAGATTTCCTAAATTTCCTCCCTTTCCTCTCCTAACTTAATCGGCCGAGCCCCTTAGCCATGGCTGGGCCTGGGCCGGCGCCTATACTGACGCCCTACAAAGGCGTCTATAACAACAACAACAAAACTACTCCACTAGAGGAGCCAAAGCTAAAGTCCTTTTTAGAAGTCGAAGACTTGCCAAATTGGCCCTTAAATCGAGGTCATGAAAATAAAATCTTGAATTCTAAATTGGATCAGGGGTCCTGGATCGTAAATAGAAGTATAGAACCGTAACTGCAAAAATCATAAAAACGGCAGTTTGCGTATAGACACTTTCAGTGCTATACACAGACAGTGCTCAACCTCGACATGATTTCAGAGGCAGAGCTATACAGAACTACAGAAGTACTTCCATAAGAGGACTAACTGCACCTGATACAAACAAGGGCATACCCAGTGCAGAGAGCTCCCGCTCTGTGCGGGGTCTGGGGATAGGTGTCAGTGGCAAGCCTTACCCTCGCCTGTGCAATGCGAGGAGACCGCGAGTCGAACCCAGGCCCCTCCGATCACAGGCGGTAAGACTCTACCGCTTGCACCAGGCCCGCCCTTCACCTGATACAAACAAGCATGAATGAAATTCCTAAATTGTCAATAAAACAAAGTTCAGTGTACATCAATGGATATGCATCAGCTTCGCAAAGAGCACTTCTTTTGAGAATGCCCTAGAAGATGACATCGACCACACTGAACGATCCGTTTCGGACGCTTCATGCTCTCAATCTTTAGAATCTTCATCTTGGGTCGACCAGGAGGCCTCCGGATATTGGGTGGGCTAAGGATCACATCGGCCTTGCTGACTGCACTTTGTAACCCGGGAGACGAATTGTTCCAGTGGCTCCTGTCCGGAATTGGATATATTGGCTGGGAATAGGTTTCTCGGTACTTCATTACGCTGAAGCAGTCATGAGCATAGAGACGGGGGTCTTCACCACATGAAAGCAGTGCAGCAGCAGCATGTGCACATGGAATGCCATAAATTTGCCATCGGCGGCATGAGCAGGACCTAGCTTGAGTGTCGACAATGTTTGTTCGCTCCGATGACACAATCTCAAATTCCACCTTGTTTGCTCGAAGGACTTGATAGCATTGTGAATCATGGATAGCTTCTGAAATAAGTTTCTCAGCTGACGGAACAAGAACCGAATTGTATGACTGTGCCAAGTTCTGACGTTCAGCAAACCAGCAAGTCAGTTGATGCCTGATGTGCTCGATGGTTTGCACAATGGGAAGTTCATGACAGTCAAGGGACAAGTTATATAATATCTCAGTTATCCCAAGACTAAAATGGCCATATCTGATACCCTGAAAGTAAGAAACTGCCCACAGGTTTGGCGGAAAACGCTGTAACCATGGCATAACATCTTGAACTTGCATCATTTCATTTACCTTCGCATCAAATTCTGATGCTGTGAGAGCATAAACAGCACTCCAGAAAAGGTTAAGCAGTTTAGTATTCTTGAACTCATCACGGAAATTCTCACTCACGTATCTCAAGCAAAATCCATGAAAAGCAGTGGGGAAATTAGATCCAACTGCTTCAACCACTTGCCTTTTTCTCTCAGAAAGTATAGTCAAGACCGGCATCTTATCTGTGTTAACTCCAAGCATCTTCCTCAATTCCGATATAAACCAGTTCCAGTTATCATCGCTCTCAGAATCAACAATACCGAATGCTAGAGGGAACATCATGTGATCAGCATCAATAGCTGACACACATAGCAATGTCCCAAGATACTTTCCCTTCAAGTCAGCCTTGTCAATTTCTAGAAGGGGCCTGCAGCCATTTAAGAAACCATAAATGGATGCACGAAACGAGACAAACAGCCGCTGGAAGGCATTCCCTGGTCCAATACCTCTATATGTTGCAACGCTACCAGGATTAAATCTTAACAATCTGCTCACAATATGCAGGAAGAAGGCGGTATCCATCCTCAAGAGTACCATTAACTGCAGCCATGCTTCTCTCCTTCCCACGCCATGCTTGCATATAAGAAACAGCGACCCCATGCTGTTCCCGAATATCCTGCAGTATCTCCTTTGGCTTAATCTGTGGGTTATCCCTGAGCCTTGCCTCGACAGACCTAGCAACCCAACCAACAGTAGCCTGCTGATGATGCAGGTTCAGAACACCCTCACATTTGTGCTCTCCGTGCAAAGTCCGGACAGTGAAAGTTGGAACACCGGGGCACTTGGCGATGTGCACACGCCAAGGGCAACCTTCTTTTGAGCACTTTGCGATGAAACGGCTACGATCAGATTTCACCACACGGAGCTCATAGTGCAAAGCAATGGCCATGTCCTTGATAGCCCTCCGACATGTGTCAACATCTGCAAACTCTTGACCAATGACAAGAGTTTGCGCACCTGGTATAAGGTTCTGCTCTGACTGAACCAAAATCTGGCCGCCTTCCATCAATGAGAAGATCCACTAGCTGAAGAATATCTGTTTTTTCTCTGAATCATACAAAACTTTCAAACAACTTGATAGCAACAAATGCGAATTATCCCTTTAGCTGCAAAAGTACTGACCTGCACAGCATTAACAAAAGTAAGTTGTCATTAAAGGAACAAAAGATGGTTTCATTCCATACAAGGAAATGGGTTTATGGCTACCAATCATTTGTGCAGAGTACAAACACTAGATTAGTGTCCTGCCTATTGGTTACTAGTTTAGACCATCTGCTTTGTGTTGGAGTGTAGAAATTGTATCTATATAGCAACTCAACGTCCTGTTTACTGTTTCCGGTAGTAACATCATCAGTTTGCTAATGGATTTGGGGGCAAAGTTTCCTGAAATCAAAAGTTGAGAGAAAAGGCCTCCCTCTAGGCCTTGACAGCACCACCTCTCCAAGAGACCCAACATGCCTAGAATAAGTGTGACTTCAAATCTTAGTTAAAAAAGGTGTGACTTCAATATAGTTTGTTATCCTTTAGTAACCTACATTGTATGCTGATGATATCTTTAGCTACACCTGCAGAATGGACTACTCAAATATGTTTTCCCTCAAATGTATAATTGTATAGAGGTACCAAAATTTTTTTTTCCCTCAACCAAAAGGCTAATATTTGTAATGCCGCATAGTTAAAATTGCACAATATATGTAGGAAATATATAACACAAAAATTGAGCATGATATGCAACAACAAAATGATAATAAAGCTTACAAATTAAAGAAGGAGACTACTCCCTCCATCCCAAATTGTAAGTCATTCCAAGAATCTTGGAGAGTCAAAGTTTTTCAAGTTTGACCAAATTTATATAACAAAATAATAATATTTATCATACCAAGTAAGTATCATTAGATTCTTCATTAGTTATATTTTCATATTATACCTATTTGATGTCATCAATCTTTGTGTTTCTCTCTATAATTTTAGTCAAACTTGACAAAATTTGACTCTCCAAGATTCTTGGAATGACTTACAATTTGGGATGGAGGGAGTAAGTAATTTAGGGACAACTCAAGCTAAGGCGCTAAGCGATTCACAAATTGCTATCCCTATCCCTAACAAATTGAATCTGAATTTGAACTTACACAACTAGAGAAGCATCAACTAGAGGCTCGGCCTGATGGACTCACGCCTTGCTGCTGACTGCTGCCCGACGCGCGGCCCCGACCACCCCTGGCCCCTGCGCTGGCTGCCCGCCGCCGGCCGCCGGATCCCGGCTGCAGTGGCGGCTGCACTGCACGCCGCCACCTGCCCCTGCTAGATGCGGCCTGCCGCTGCGCGTTGCCGATGAGCTGTGCGCCCTTTCCGCGCCGCCTGCCGCCGCTCGCGCTCGTCGCTAGGGTTCCCTCTCCCCTACTTCGCTCGCGACTCCGCTCCACTCTCCGTATCCGCGACTCCGTGTGCGGGAGACGACAGGAGGCAGCAGGCGTCAGGCGTCAGGCGTCAGGGAGGGGACTCAGTGCAGGCTGCGGCCTGCGGCCTGCGGTTAGCAATATGGGCCACTGGGCCTCGTTGGGCCTTCAAGTGGGGGAGAGAAACGAGTGAACTATGTTAGTTTGGGCTGATTTATAGGAGTTCCGATTTGCTGTATTTTTGTTTTTTTTAATATACAGACTTGTATATATACACTATATGTATGATTTTTTTGTCAAAAATATTTGGGTACTCAACTGAATACCATTGAATATACTAGTGGGCCTGTGCCGCCGCGACGGTAGGGGGGAGGAAGGATGGATCAGTTAGGGCTGGGGCCTGGAGGTGGTGTGGGCCGCGGATGGAGGGTAGTTTTGATATTCCTTTTTTCTTTTGCCTGTTTTGTTTTCCTTTTCTTTTCCACACAATACAATAGTTCGATAACATATCACAGACTTAACTTTTTATATTTTTTATAAACATAAATAATACTTCAAACAATATCACAATTTTAGAATTATAAACTTCTTGCGTCAAACTTGATCTTTTATTTCACTGTGGATTTATGATGAGATAGTTAGGTTCTGGCGCGATATATCTCAAATGGAAAATAGCATAAGTCTAAAGCCTAGAAAAAAATAGAGTTTGCCTATAATTTCACCAAGTCCAACTAATACGCAACTAATACATTTTCCATAACAATCTGCTTGAGATCTAAGAGTGAAAAAACAACCCGATAAAAAGGGTGGATTTATGATGAGATAGTTTGGTTCTGGCGCGATATATCTCAAATGGAAAATAGCATAAGTCTAAAGCCTAGAAAAAAATAGAGTTTGCCTATAATTTCACCAAGTCCAACTAATACGCAACTAATACATTTTCCATAACAATCTGCTTGAGATCTAAGAGTGAAAAAACAACCCGATAAAAAGGGTAAGGGCCAATTTAGTATTCATAGAAAATTAATATTAGGTAATTATAAACTTGGCTTGTACCTAAAATATTAAAAGCACAATAAAAAAATTAGATATTTAAATAGAAAAATCCAAATTACTATCAAGTCTAACCTATATCCAGATATCCCAAACTAACATTTGTTTCGATTTACTTCCTCCAACTATTTCAATTGATCCAATTTGCACTTTAAAATGATCTTTATTTTTTGTTTCTATATGTACAAATTGTGTTTCAGTTTCAAATTTTGTGGGTGAAAGATCATAATGGCTAGAGGGGGTGAATAGCCTATTAAAAATTTCTACAACAACACTAAGACAAATGATTAGTCAATAAGATGGCGAAGCGAATTTTATGCTAGCACTATACTTGGGGTTGCAAGCCACCTGCCCAATTCTATTTTCTATGATCTCTAGTATATCACAACAAAGCTACGTCGCTAATATACACCAAGATGATCAACCTAGTGAGAGTAATATAATTAAATGATACACTATCTAGTCTTAATTACCACTAGCTCTATCCAAGTGAATGTATAGTGACATACAAGAGAGTGGTAGAGAGGTATACCGCCGTGGCAAGTGACCAATGAGTGAATACCAATGAATACCAAGGAGACAATCAAGACACAATGATTTTTCCTCCGAGGTTCACTTGCTTGCTGGCAAGCTAGTCCCCGTTGTGGCGATTCACTCACTTAGAGGTTCACGCGCTAATTGGCATCACACGCCAAACCCTCAATAGGGTGCCGCACAACCAACACAAGATGAGAATCACACAAGTCACGAGTAATTTACTAGAGTACCTTTTGGCTCTCCGACGGAAAAAGGTCAAGAACCCCTCACAATCATCACGATCGGAGCCGAAGACAATCACCAACCTCCACTCGACAATCCTCGCTGCTCCAAACCGTCTAGGTGGCGGCAACCACCAAGAGTAACAAGCGAATCCTACAGCGAAATACGAACACCAAGTGCCTCTAGATGCAAACATTCAAGCAATGCACTTGGATTCTCTCCCAATCTCACAAAGATGATGAATCAATGATGAAGATTTGTGGGAGGGCTTTGGCTAAGCTCACAAGGTTGTTATATCAATACAAATAGCCAAGTTAGTGAGCTAGAGCCGACCAAACGATATTTATAGACACCCCCAAATAAAAGAGCCGTTGGCTCAATTATTGGGCTGACTGCGGGACGACCGGACGCACCGGTCAGATCGACCGAACGCACCCTGCCAGCGTTCGGTCACGCTACACCGTCCACGTGTCGCTCTGCGTTCAACCGGAGCCGCCCGATCTCAATGGTAACTTCGTGCACCAACGGTCACACGACGACCGGACGCAGCACAGCGAGGATGACCGGACGCTGCAACGCCTGAGTTCGGTCATTTCCAGAGAGCTCCCCGAGCCTCTGTTTTACGACCGGACGCGTCCGCTCCTGCACGACTGGACGCGTCCGATCAGCTCTGCGCCCGCGCGCCAACTTCAGCGTCGTCTACGTCACCGTACGTCACCCTGACCGGACGCGGCCACTGTGCGTCCGGTTACTTCTTCGCCCAGCGTCCGATCACTTGACCGAGACCGCGCGCTATCTGCTGGCACTGGTCGGACGCGCCGGTCCTGCCGAGCCCAGCATCCGGTCACACATAGTGACACCTTCTCGCCTCCATTTTTTCACCAACTTCTTCTCCTTTGCAAATGTGCCAACACCATCAAGTGTACACCTTGTGCACATGTGTCAGCATGTTTTCACAAATGTTTTTAAGGGTGTTAGCACTTCACTAGATCCTAAATACATATGCAATGAGTTAGAACATCTAATGGCATTTTGATAACCATATTTCGATACGAGTTTCACCCCTCTTAATAGTACGACTATCGATCCTAAATGTGATCACACTTGCTAAGTGTCTCGATCACTAAACCGAAAAGCTCCTATCAATTTCACCTTTGCCTTGAGCTTTTTATTTTTCTCTTACTTCTTTTTCAAGTCGAAGCACTTGATCATCACTATGGCATCACCATCATTAAGTCATGATCTTCATTTGCTTCACCACTTGGAGTAGTGCTACCTATCTCATAATCACTTTGATAAACTAGGTTAGCACATAGGGTTTCATCAATTCACCAAAACCAAACTAGAGCTTTCGTGGGGGCTTCTATTTAAGCCCCATTGCCGGCTCTAGCTCACTCTCTTGGCCATTTGTATTGACATAGCAACCTTGTGAGCTTAGCCAAAGCCCCCCCCACTCATGTCCATCATTGATTCAACATCTTTATAAGATTGGAAGTGAATCCAAGTGCATTGCTTGAGTGTTTGCATCTAGAGGCACTTGGTGTTCGTGTTTCGCTGCGGGATTCGCTTGCTACTCTTGGTGGTTGCCGCCACCTAGACAGCTTGGAGTAGCGAGGATCGTCGAACGGAGGTTGATGACTGTCTCCGGCTCCGATCGTGGTGCTTGTGAGGGGTTCTTGACCTTTCTCCGACGGAGAGCCAAAAGGTACTCTAGTGAATTGCTCGTGGCTTGTGTGATCCTCATCTTGTGTTGGTTGTGCGGCACCCTATTGAGGGTTTGGCGTGTGATGCCAATTAG